CCCCCCCCCCCCCCCCCAGTTTTCAGTTTCTTGAACTCGGGCGGTGTCAGGCCAGAGCTGGCGCCGTCAGTGGTTTCCTTCTCCGTGCCAGACCTGACATATCCGCCCATCAAGGAGGGCCTTCGAGGGGTTTAGGGCTTCGGGTTGGAGGGCGCTAGGATTCCGGGTTTATGGTCTAAGCCCAACCTGAAGCTCAAAGCCATGAACTTCCAGCAACAAGCTTTTTCACTTTTGACCTCCCGCAGAGCCCTTGTGCCCTTGTGCAGGCCCTGGTGGAAAGGCGCTCTGATGGTTTCATCAAGTCCTTCAACGCGGAGAAGGAAACCCAAGCCTTAGGGTTCGAGAGGCTCAATGGTTTAAGGGGATGTGTAGGTTCAGGTTTCAGCTGTTCGGCATTCCTCGTCGAAGGCTGAGGCTAGAGGCTGGCGGCAAGTTGAAGGCCGCCAAGTTGATCAGCAGCTGCAGGGATGTGGACCAAGCGATTTTCAACGAGAGCTGCAGGCTCCCACTACCTCCAGGGCATTGGTAGAACAGGACTCCTCCGGGTAGACATGGCGATCGTATTGGCTTTTTTGGTTGTGCAGTACTGAACCCCAAAGCAAAACAAATCTTAAGCCGTACCATACCGCACGACCTGAAGACCTTTGAGTCCCTGCTGGCTGAACGCTTCCCAGTCCGAGTTTGCACGGTGCAGGGCTTTGGCTTCATCGCCTGCGAGGAGCTCTACAATGTAGCATGGCTTCTGCAGCGAATTCGTGTGTGCATATACACACAAAGGCTGGGTATCTTCATACAGCTACATTTGGACGAGTAGTTCGTGCATGTCTGTGCATCGTCGTTGTAAGAAGGGCTTAGCACTTGGCCGACGATTCAAGGATCTCGGAAACCCAGGTCTTTGGCAACGACGTGTTCCTAGTTGGCCAGCAGATGGGCTCGTTTAATGTCGGCGACCAGGCACGTTCTGGCCTGCTTTGTTTTAGACAGTCAGAGGAGGTTGCCTAGCAGCACACAGATAATCACGGATCAATACCCGAAGTTTGAAGACTTCTTTAACCCGAAGGCCTTGGATCCTTTCTGTGACTCCGGCATGCTACAAACGCTGCAGGCTTCAAACTCTCACCTCCGACTTTCTTTGTGCAGCTGGCCAGGTGAGTTTTGCAGTGGCACTCAACAAGGACAACAAGCCACAGGCGATACTCGAAGATGTCCTGATGTCTTGGTGTAGGGAGGTGGGGTTCAGCATTTGAAGACTTTGACGTCGAAGGCTTCGGTTTGCCGGAAGGGCCGGCATTCAGTTGTGCTGTAGAACTGAGTGTTGCGGGGAGTTGAGCAAGTCTTATGGGTGTTGCGCTCAGGCCTATGATCTTCGGTGGCAGCACCATCGAAACGCCGTGACCCCGTTACAAGTATCGCAACAGCGACAATGGACATTACGTGTGAAAGCTTGCAGATGCACCATCTGTTTGCAGACGTGTGGGCCGGCAACAAGATGCCTTCAAGCATAGCGACCAGGAGTTAACTGTGGAAAGAAGTAGAGGCGCAATCATGCAGAACTGTGGTGGCATAAGTAGCGCTGCGGGTGGCTGCATGGATTGTGTTAGTTCTTGCTCACATGTCGTAACTGCCTCAAGCAACGAATACCCCCTGCCCCCTGCACCAGTGCTGTGACACAAGAAGAGCACAACATTGTGTGTTGTGAAAAGGTGTGGATCACCAAGATTGTTTCTGGTGTTTCATCGTCACTGGATCGATCCCTGCTGATCTTTGTTCGATTTCGGATGTTCGGCAGCACGGAACTCATCCGCTTCAACGCAGAGGTGGCCAGCGGCAAAGGGGGCGCGAAGGCCCTTGCAGCCGTCGAATCTTTTGACATGTGCATCGCAGGATATGAGGGCTTCTCCGGAGGTTCAGCAGCTCGAAGCCCAGCACCGAGAGCCATCCCTGGTGCAGGGTGCCTGGCTTGCCCCTCAGCAGAACCAGCTCCAGCAGCAGTGGGGCGGTGGGAAGCCGCGACCTCGGCAGGGTGGATTCATGGCGGGGCACCGGGTCCCGAATGCTTGCTTAGGGCTGCCTTCTATTTTCCTCGTAATTCAGCAAATCCTGGCTTCTGGAGTGGTTCCTCAGGCATCTTCTGAGTTCCTCCTTCGGGCCTCGGAGAGCAGGGCGGCTCTAACGACGTCTCCTTTAAAACAATGTGTAGGCAGCTGGTCTCACCAGGCACGATCTCCTTGCAACGAACATCTGGGAACCCTGAGGAAGGGGAAACGGCTGAAGTGCAAGAGGAGTGTTAATGCTTGTGATTAGGATGCTCAAGAGCAACGCTCCCAAACAGCTTTGTCTTCTGGTTCTGCCCTGTTGTGTTGAGAGCCGTCCGTTTGCATAGCTTGCCCGACACGACCGCATACTAACCGAGGTCGAAAGGCAGTGGTGGTGGTGGTGGTGGTTCTTGGGGCAAGGCGCCTTGCCAACGCTATGCCCGGAGGTCATATGAACACGAACACAGAACAACCAAGATGCAGGACATTTCTCAAGTCTCAAGGAAGAGCCGCTGCAGTGCAACTTGCCACACACTCCCTGGACCCTGGACCCTGAGCAGGGTTCCTGGCAGCCGAAAGCCGCCACGCGCGAGCCTGAGTCTGTCACCACTGCATAACGTCCTATCACCTCGCATAGAACTCTCTCCCCATTACAACCTGCTCGGTGTTGACTTCTTCCGCAGCACGTGACGGCTCGTTTGTGCGGGCCTCTTGTGGGGTTTGCCCGTCTTCGCTCGAGATCTCGAGCGTACACGAAGGGCGCGACATCATCACATTTCCTAATTGCTGCCCTGCGCTGCTTGTAGCAGTGCCATCCCATGCCTTGCATAGCTGCACCAGCAAGGTCCCAGGCGCAGGAAGCGCTGACCTACCAGGTTGGATCTGGAGAGAGAGAGAGAGAGAGAGAGAGAGAGCGAGAGCGAGAGCGAGAGCGATCAATGCCAGTGCCTAACTTCCCACACGCTTAGCAAGCTAGCAAGCGAGCAAGCAAGCAAGCAAGAGCCATGCCTGATCTTCTACAGAGCTGACAGTCTCGTCATCCCATGTCTGTAGGTTACAGACTATCTGGTCTGCAAGCGTCGTACCTTTCTCATGTTCTCTATCCAGGCCTGGAGGCCTGCCGAGCCTCAGCAGCAGCCTTCGTGGAAGAAGAGGACCAACATTTGGCTTAGCTTCAGCTGCTTCAGGCTTGATTCCGGAATGTTGCACTAAAAAAGGCCAGAATAGGTGAAGAAAGGTAGGACACCTCCACTTCAAAGTCGTGTGGACTCAAGGGCTCAGATGCCCTCATTGCGCGAGTTTTGGGAGGTCAACCTGCGCAGGGTGTCCAGTGAGGCCATGTAGAAGCCGAAGTACTTTGCAATACTATCCCCGAGCAGTAGCATTCCTAATTAGGCTCATTCTACACTCTACCCCGCTATAGGAAGCAAGTAGGGGGGGGCCGCAGGAAGTCCGACGAGGCATTCTGAGCGGATGCTGAGACCGGCTTGCAGGGAGCGAAAAAAGGCTGCGCCGGACCCAATGGTGCCCTAAATTCAAAAATGGATGGCAGTTTCGACTTGGGACCTCACTTGAGCTTCTCGAAGCTTGCGCCTCTCACTTCCTCGCCGCCCCCTACTTGCAGGAGAGGTGGGAGGACAGCTGGTTTGCACAACAAGCCAAAACCAGCCGCTGGTCTAAGTGGCTTCGGGTCGGGTGAGGATGAGTGGAGCCTTGGCACTTGGGACGTTCTTTCGTTGATGTCGGTTTCAAGATCTGAAGCTTTCAAAAGCCCTCCAGCCGGAGACCCTAAACCCTAAACCCTATAAGACCCAACACCCCAGAGAACAGAAGGAACTAAGACTCCTCTTCGCCCCCCCCAAGGCGGCAACCGCGCAAAAGGCGACGAGAATTGGGGCCGACATGCCAAGGTGCCTTGTGTCCTCGCTGTGGTAGTGCGGGGTGCAGGGGGTTCAAATTCAGGCACCGTTTTAGGGGTTTTATAACGGTTTAGGGTTAGGGTCTTGTTTTAGTTTACAGGGGTTTAGCTTGCTCGGTTTTGTGCCTCGGATGGGTGGAGGGCCCGGTGTTGATTGGGCGCAACACCCCAACAGGACCTCCGCACATGTGATGGCCAGGCAGATGACCTCGAAGCCCGAGAAGATGTACGCTTGTCCCTTAGGGGATGTTGCCGAATTGGCAGGGATATGTTGTGGTTCTTCGCGTGCCTGGCATACATCTTAGCTTCGAACCTTGTCGTAACCTTGGTAAAGTTGTAGTACCACTGAGCATTTTTGAAACTTTTGCTTTGTTGTTCACCTGTCTAGAAGTTCCCGGCGCTTGGCCCCAAAAGGGCGAAGGCTTTGGCTTGGCTGCATCTAGTCTAAGGAGACGACCGCGAAGGCCCTGCTCAGCGCGTAGCTTGGGGGGGAACATCCGCAGACCTTGCCAGAGAGGAGTTCTATTCTATTCTGTTCTATTCTGTACCGTTCTAGGTTTGTCGGCTTTAGGGAGGCTGCGCTGCAGGCCGGCTTCCCAGCTTAGCTTTGTTGTAGGTGTATCTGTGCAAGGGGGGGCAAGTCCCCAAGCACTGCCTACTATGTGACGTCTTGCATGTCTTCTATTTGTTTCACAGCTTGGTCCCAGATATGTACCGTTCTATTTACTGTGTCCCTCTGCCAAGTGGGGCTCATCTGTCGGATGTGCGGCTTTGAAGCTCAAAGTCTCTGGAAATATCCTACCCTGAGTACCCTAAGCCTAAACCTCGAACTCCGGTGGCTGTGTGCAGTGCAAACCCGGCTCCAACGTGGGATGGAGTGCGAGTGAAGCAGAAGCTTGAGATAGCAGGATCTTGTGGACCTGCGATGTAGCATTGCGAGTTGCTGTGATAGAAGTCGCTATGCGACCTCGTGGAAGGCGGGGATGAGCAGTTGGATTGAAGTCCTTGGAACCTGTGTCCCCTAAGCTAACTGGACGTCAATCCTCACCCTCACCCTACGGATGCCCTTTCCTGATGAAATACATCAACTTCTGGCAACTAACCCCAAGAGCTCTCGTTCATCCGTCTGGTCAGGCCGTGCTCCCCGCGAGGGCCGCCGACGAGGTTGGAGAGTTTTGCATTTTGGCACCATGTTCAGGGGCTGATGATGATTTGCAGGTCACTTTTTCTCTCTGTTTTGTTCGTTCTCCTCTTCCTATTGGCGTGCATGTGTTCTTGCGCGCCTGCAAGGAACACACTTCTTCCGTATAACTTTGCAGGAGCTCTGGCTAGCAAAGAACCTCGAAGCAGATTCCCAGTCAGCCGCATGCAAGTGAGCAACAGGTGCAGCAGATCGAGACTGGAGACATGCTGCTGGCTTGAAGTTAAGAGCTAGTTTTGATGCCGAGTGTGCCATCCAGGGTGCCCTTGAGCCTGTCTGTGTTGATGCTTCTGGCGTTTGGAGCTGGGAAGCGTGCTGAGCCGAGGACCTCTTCAACTATGCCACTGACAGGGAGCGACAGGCACGAAACAACCGCCTGAGACTCAGGGCCCAGAGGTCCCGTAAGCGGAAACTGATTAGCAGCGTTCTGTGGCGTCAACAGAGACAGGGCACCATAGGATGGGCAGCACTCCTTGCCGAGCTTCATACAGGAGTGATGACATTAGACTTGATGTCTTGCTGCAGGAGCGAGGTCGGGCCTCTCCCTACATCGGTCGGAAGTATCCAAACCCAGGCTCTAGGGCTCTAGGTTCACAAGTGGCAGACTGTCGAGGAAACAGCCTCAGAGGCATCAGCACTCCAGAATCCTTTGAGGCGCAGTCTGCAGTCTTAGGAAGATCAAGCTCCAAAGCTGTTCTAAGGAGGCGCCTGGGGACACGACGACCGAGGCCTCGAGAGAGCGAAGCGGCCCCAAAGTGACCCTACACGGCCCTACAAAGAACCGTTGCCTTCAGCCGCAAGCTTGGCCATGGTCTTGGCCACAGGCGATTGGGGCGGGCCGGATGTCCGAGACCGAGAGGCCCGCAACCGCGCTTCTTTTCACGGGAACACAGCCCTACGCGCGCCAGTAGCGTCGCAACCGCTCTGCCCGCACAGCACGGAGGCGCCACGGAAGCGCGGACGAGGCGCGCCGGGGGGGCGGAGGGCCGAACGGGGGAAGAAAAGAGCAGAGAGCTCTGCCTTGGCCATGCTGCTGCCATGCTTTGTGCCATGCTTTTCACTCTTTTTCACTTTCGTTTCCTCAGGCGACCACGACTGGGATCGGGGCCAGGCCAGGCTCTGAGTTCAGCTGTGGCAGTGAAAGCCTGTGGGAGACGAGCTCGAGCTGGAGCGACTAAAAGCACCGACAGTTGCTGCCATACTGGCCGACATACTTGATTATCTAGTGCTATCCTGTGTTGCCTACCGGGCGTTGCGGTAGCCGCCCAGCATCCCCAAGCAGAAGGCTGTGTCCAGAGCTTCTATGCCTCGTCAGGAATGGCAGGCTCGTCCGGACACTGCCGGAGGTCGGGCGCCAGCTCCAGGGTTGTCGGGTTCAGTGCCGAATTCTGGGATGCCGGGGCTTGCAGATTCCTTGCCCAGACTCGGACCTCACTCTTTCTGGTTGCTCTTGAATTGAAATCATGTTAAGTTCCCTCTTCAACCAAAGAGACCTCTGTCTCAGAAACTCGACTAGCGACTTGCCCCGCCCCAAGGGTTTACGGATCTTGCCGTCCTGCATCTCACCATCGATTTTCAGCGAAGGTGTTTGGTGATGCTTTTCCTAGCTCGCTCGATGCAGTTGTTTCAAGTGTCCTGCTACCTGAAGCCTCTAAGCTGCAGACAGACGCCCGCAGCTCCAGCAGTGCTGGTCGTCGTGGTGGTTACAGCAGTAGCGCTGGCAAAAGTAGCAGCGGTAGCATTGGTGGAAGTCTGGTATAGGGAGAACACCCGCGACTGCAATTTGGGCTTACCATGTGTGCTCTGGTTGGGAAACGCTTCGAGCCTCTCGCTTTGAGGTGTCGCAGCTGCTGCGCCGTCGTTCAAGCCTGTAAGAATCCCAAGTTTTCGCGAAAGTTGCGCCTTCTGGGACCCTGGAGTGATGCCAGGGTTGGAGGCTTCTGGTAAGCCACTGGTGAGTTCGGTCTGAGGGAATGCAGCACCCGCATCTCCACAGGGCACCAAACTCCTGAGGCCGACGACGAGGAGACGCGCAAGCGCCGCAAGCGAATGGAGCGCTTCAGCAAGCTCATGCCTCACTCGTTGTTCTTGTCGATGTGACGAGGAAGGGGGAGGTGCAGGTGAGAAGGAGCAGAGAAGAACGAACTTTTCGAGCCTGCAGCTGTGAAGGTCTTTTCAACGCGTTGAGAACCAGAGGCCAATCTAAGGGAGATACATATTCCTCAGTGCTGAAATCTCCATGCTGCATGGGAGGACAGGGGGAAGAATGATGGCGAACACAGAGTCAACGAGAAGCGTAGACACGTAACAAACAGCTTACCAGCATTATGGCTGCTGAAATGCTACAGCAGAGTCCAGCCCATGAGCCCAAGGCCCAACTTTCAGCAACGACCCACCTTCATGTCCGTGTCTGTTTCGCAGCGAGTGTCAGCTTGATCCGTCTAAGGGCGGCGCCCGCCGCTGCGCATGGGGATGCCGGGGCCGTATGGGATGCAACGCCAACTCTGCAGGGGCTCTCGATGTTTCTGTGCGGAGGTTTCTTGATCCCAGGTGCTGTGCATTGGGCCTTCACTTGGCCTCAGGCAGCCGTCCGAGTAGAACATGGAAGAAGGACGACGGCTCTTCGCGCCACCAAGATAGTAGCAGCAACAGCAAGATGTGCTTTCGAATCTCGAGGTGTGACTTCTGCTTTGTCCAGCGAAAGCCTCCATCACGCTGCTGAGGCTGCCCCCAGCTGATTCAGATGACGATTGCAAGAAGACTCCTGGCAGCAATGCCTACCCGTGGCGTTAGTCGAACGTGAATTGCTAGCTATTCTATACCTTGTTATCCTGCGAACGATGTGCATGTCATCACTCCGGGTGACTGTCGGTGCTTCGGTCGGGATGTTTGGGATTTGGGGGTGCGTTGCATGGCAGTAGCCATGAGTGTCCATCCCTCAGTCAGAGCAGCAGACAAGGTCGCAGTCGTCAATACAAGACGCTGCCATGATCGAAAAAGAGCGGGGGCGTTCTTCTGTTTGCTGTCTTTGGGCTGGGGGCCTGGGATTTCCTTTGCCTCTGCAGAAGTGCTTCGCGGGTTCGGGCCGAGGTTTTGCAGTCTCATTTTCGGTTGCGGGCTTCGGGTAGCAGTAGGCGTGTTGACTTCTCAGGAGAGTTCTCAGGAGGCATCAGGAACAGAACGGAACAGATGCTGCACACCCTCTTCCTCAGTTGATGGGTCACCTGGATGTTTCATCATCATCGCGGGCGGCAACAACCTTAAGTAGGGACCTCAAAGCAGTAGGATCGTTACTACAGAAAGGAGCCCAATACCCTGGTTCTCAGAAGACCTGAATGCAGAAGCAATTCCCGAAGCTTGGACTCCGACTGCCTCCAATCCGCACAGCCACGCAGCTCAAGCTGTGGGCGTTTTAGCGATTATGTCATTTTCATGTCCGTGAACTTCACACATCCTCGATGCATCGGCCTCAGCGGGATGTGACGGGAGAGGTGGTCTCGGTCTCGATTTCTGACAAATACCATCTTCTCTGGAGACGCTCCTCAAGGTAAGGTGAAGTGGGGTGTGGCAACCGGATGGTTCGTTGTGAGCGCACACTATGTCAATATATTTTCATGGCCTACTTCATCCTGCTTCACAACATCACGTATCGTCACGTTCCTCAATCTACACCTCAGTTGTTTCATCGCATGGCAGTTTAAGTACGTGATGTAGCCACAGCCACATCCTGGCTGGCTCCAGGCCTCTTTACTCAAAGACTCGCCCGCTGAGGAATCCAGTGCTGCTTGCAGCCACTTGTGTATGGATCGCACAAGCTGTTACCGAGCACCACCAGGCGGGGCCGCAAAGGAGCTCTCCGTGGCGACTGTGTCCTTTTGGATTGTGTCAGATCTCTGCAGCACATGTTGTGTTCAATGAACGCCTCCGCTGCTCTTGGTCAGGTGTCCCTGCACGCGAGCATTGATGCACATGGAAACATGCACAAGGACATACCGACTCGGTTTTTGCACTCGTCTTCGAGTTGACTTCTGATTTTTGATCGCTACTGGTAGCTCTCGTGGGTTACGAGGGTTCTTCTTCTTCTTCTTCTTCTTCGCGTGCTGCTGTGCATCACTGAGTCTTCGGGAATCTTGACTCTCAGGAAAACTCTCGCATGATGCGACGAGAGGCATGGGCTGGGGCTTCGCTGTACAACTCGTGTGTCCTTTCTTGGTTGGAAGCCCCGTTGTTAGTGGAAGCCCAGAGGGTCACTCCCCAGCCCTACCCATGCATTTGAGAGGGCTCCTTGCTTGAAAGCATTTGATCTAGGAGTTTCGGCCTGCGAGTGATTGCCTTGCTGCTACGCATGTGACAAGGGAGGGGAGGACGGCGAGAGTCGTGGAAGCGTCGTTAGTTTTTAGTCCTTGCTGACTTGCACGTGCTTGCGCTACGCGGAAGCAGGCAAATGACAACCTCTTAGAGGATGCTGGCCAAGACCTGGGCAACGTCGAAATCCACAGCACCCTGTTCCATTATATAATTTGGTCGAGTTTCGGGGTGCAGGCTTCCCAAGCCGCAGCCCACCAGTGTGACCTTGACGGAAGCTCCAAGCTGGGGTGTGAGAGTTCCAGCCCCTCCGGCTGAGCAACCAAGGTGATGAGGAAGAGGATGCGTCCATGGAGGACTGATGATGACTGATGAAGGTTACTAGGTTCCCAGACAAGGAGCTGCACACTCCAAGGCGAATACACTCATCTCAGGTTTCAAAACTGAGCATCCAACCCAAGCGCTTGTCCAACTCGATTTAGGCCGCCCTGGATCCGATGGCCGCTAGAGAGGCCGAGCAAGCCCAATTAACCGAACTTACTGGCAGCGCTGTCGGCTTCACAACCGTCGTGAAAGGGACACGCCACCAATCACGAGCTTTTGGAGAGGACGTGTTTGGGGATGTCAGCGGTGACGATCTGGCGGAGAGCGAGGTCAATGCCACGTTTCCTTATTACAGGTGCCCGGGCAGATTTGCCGACTCGGGGGTCTGGTGGGTACTCGTATCTGCTCTGATCTATATCGCCAGGTTTCCGTCCAAGGCAGCTATGCATTGTGATCGTTGTCTGACTGTGAAAGCAAGAGACGTGTGAGTCAAGATCATCGCGAGGATCGTGATGAGGATCAAGCAAGAGGGACAGGGAGGTTGTAACGGCTCACACTGTTTTTGAGCCTATCCCCTACTTAAGCTCCTTTCAAGCTTTCGTTGGTTCCGAAGCTTTCGAGTCTGAGGTTCACTCTCCTCGCCACACGCGAGCAGGGCTTCACCGGCGATTTTGCTGAGCCTGGGTCTTAGCAGTGTGGGGCTCACAGTGGGCAGACATCGGAACCAGGCAACGTCGTGCAACCTGCTCAGTGCAGCTCCCACCTCCTTCATCTCACCTCAAGCCTCACCACAGCGCCTTCGGCCACACAGCGGAGACAGCCACAGGTTCGCACTCTTCGATCCGAAAAACCAGCGGATCGACTTGTCTCCTGGAGGAGCACGTCTGTGCTGCTTGCAGCATTGAGGGTGTGGAGCCGCGGGTCCTGTATCAGACATTTTAAAGAAGGAACTGGTGTCGGGTCAGCTGGTCAAACCTAGTGGCCCCTGTCAGGACCCGCTGTTCTGAGCGCAACGCTGGTAGATGTGGCTGGGCTTGGACCTGGAGTCCTTAATGCCCGAGCCACACCGCCCTGGCCGTAGCTCTCGGCGGTCGCTTGAACCGTCCTTGCCGTCCTTGTCTCAATACGTCGAGACCTGTGCCAAGCCATGGCATTATGCGTTAAGGACATGAACCAGACGATTACCGGCAGCTGGGATCCCAAGTACGCTCTGGACGGCGACCTGCAAACCAAATTGATGCTGCACGTGGGCTATTCGCCGCTTGTCGAAGTCTGAGACGCTCTGTGCATCTTCAAGGGTCCGTGAGTATGGCAAGTAAGGACCGGACTGGTAGTCCCAGGCGAGAGTCTAACCACGCGAAAATGATAAGCAGAAAGCCAGCATAATATCTACCTTGCCTGCTCTCGTGCGTGACCTCATAAGCAACAGTGCGCAGCCTTTGGATAACCATTGCCCGTTTCTCTTTTTCTCAACACAGCATCAAGCAATCTGCACATTGCACGTTGAAGCCCGTTCAGCCAGCACCCTGCAATCGAATCCCTGAGCCACACATCGTCAACCCACCCAGATATCTATCTATCTATCTATCTATCTATCTATCTGCCTGCCACCTCCCCTCCCTCCCTCCCTCCCT